AGTTCAAGAGCCCCAGGCTGGGTAAGGTAGGAGTCAAGGTTCTTTCTAGCACTTGTGGGAGCTCTGGAAAGACAAGAAGGTTACCATGGGTCATAGCACACCATACCAAAAACCCCACCCTAGAACCTAACTATCCTTTCCTTGTACCAATTAGGAGTTAAAACTTTAAATAAGAAAACCCTGAGGTTTACTTAACTGAACCCTGTTCCTTGTCTTTTCATCTCTCTCTATCTCTCAGATTAACTACACTGTTATTATTTCTTCCTTAAGGATTTCTACATTTTTTGGTATGACCTTAAAGTATCTTGGGGACATACCAAAAGATGAGAGAGAATTGACTGGGAAATGAAGAATTTGGGTTTACAATTGTAAAAGATAACTTTCTTGCATATTTTCAAAATCATTTCACCCCAAGCAAGGCAATAAAACCATTTAAGACAATATGGAAAAAAAAAACTAGAGAGAGAGACAGAACAATAAAATAAAAGGAATTAAGAAGAAAGAAGAGAATGGTTGACATTGAATTTACATTTTTGAAGATCAAAGTTGATCGAAAAAAAATGGAGCCAAAAGAGAGTTCCACACGTGAGAAGTGCAAAAAAACTGTTAGCATAGAACTTACAGTTATATGTAGTCATTTCGCTGTAAAATGATGAGACCTTGCCGCAATCTAGTCAGTCAGTTATGTACCATGCGTGATACACTCTTAAGCGATCATGTATCTTGATACATGACTGATGAGGCAGATTGTTTCCCACATTTGGTTGCCATTTCTTTCTGTGGTAGACCAGATGCTATCCAAGACTATAGAATTCAGTCATGCTATTTACCCTTAGCTGGAGGGAGAAGAAGAGGATTCATACCTTTGCCATGTATATTAGCACGTAAGTGAATATAATGGATTTGACTTAAATTCAAACTCAACTCTCCGATTCCTCAAAACCGAATATATATATATATATATATATATATATATAAATAAATACATAAAATAAATGCAAATGTTAGTATGTCACTGAATCACGCTCTTTCAACTTTACTCCTATTTTAGAATCAGGCTGAGAAAATTAAAAACATGTATGTTTTCTCACCTAAGAAACTCTTTTATTTTTCTTCTTTTTGTTTTCCCATTAACTTTAATCTACAAAAATTTAAATGCAACATCAATTGTCATCTTCTGTCTCCTTTAATCTTGGTCTTTTATTGTATTTTTTCTTCTCAATAATGTTTTCTCGGTGACCTTCACTCAGTTTTTTGTCATCAGGAACCCCTTCTATTTTGATGAAATGATTAAAAAAAAGTGGGTATTTTATTGATTCACATATAAAAAAAAGTGGAGATTAAACTCACAATTACTTTGCAACCAAAGATTCTGCATATTTCAGTGCAAGGATTTTGGAGATATTTTTAAACAATTCCTCTTCAAGATTAAATAATGTCCTCTAAATCATCCATTTCTATTGACTTGAAATTATAACATCTAATACAAAGGGCACTTACCTCACCAATAAATATATCAGTCATGTCATCATCTAAGGATCCATAGCAAAGTGTAAGACCCAACTTTTCATTGGCATTTCTGTGAAGAATGACTTCCTGAAAGAGTGGTGGAAAAAAAAAAGACACAAATTAGTTACATGTTTTACCCTACGTAAATTCAGAAATGAAAATTACATTCAAAAAATAAAAGCAGAAAAAAAACAAACAAGAAGAGAAAAAGTTTAACAATAGCAAAATTTCATTATTTATTAATAAAATTCAATTATGGTCAGAACACTCTACAGTAGCTACTGGTATATGTAACCACTTGAGTAAGCAGTGAACCAGGTAGGTCTCAATTGCAACATAAGTAAAACAGAATATATCACCTCCTCCCCAGAACCATCCAAGTTGAAGTCACTCAATAATACATCAATCAAAAGATTTGAAGACTTCAAATATTTTGGATCTCATATAATAGATTCCTAAAAAGACTTCAACATTTGCAAATCTCTTGCATGGGATGCATGTAACAAACTTCACAAGATTTGGTGCTCGGACCTTCCATTCTCCTTAAAAGGCCAAACCTTTCGAACATTGATTGAACCAGTCCTACTACATGGAGCAGAAACCTGGACATTATCTGCTCATCTCAAAAGACGATTGGATGGAGCATATACAGAAAAATCCAGAACATCATTTGGAGATCCCATGCAATGCTTAACACAATTTACGAAGACTTGAGACCAATCTCTCTTAAGCTCAAACAAAAATGAGTACAGTTCATCAGCTACTGTAACCAAGCTGACAGGGAAATTGCCCCATCCTTACTCCTATGGCATCCTTCTGGAAGTGCCTTCTCACAAAAATTGACTATCCCAGACATGATATCTCAGGACCCAAGGTTAAAAATTAGGGATCTGGGAACAGCAATGCAGGACCGAACAGTGTGGAAAGAGATTGTCAGTGGAGTTCCAACCAACCATAGGGAGGTCAAAGTATGATGATGATATGTAACCCAGTACGTTCCCCCACCAGGCTTTTCTGTTTTCAGATAATAGATAAAACTTCTTGTAGGTTCAATGGCCATTAGCACAAGGCAATACAGAGCTCCATAGCTATGAATGCAGTCAGTGTGATGATGACACAACATTGATAGGTGGAGGGCTTCCTTGACTGATGTCAACAGCCAGGACTGGGAGTTTTCCTAATAGGATCAACAGCCACATGTCCATGACCAAGATGAGCCTTCAAGTTGAACAGCACCAGATGTGGTTTGACCTGGAATTGAATGGGCGCTGCCAGATCCACTAGCCAAAGACATACTATGTATGCTTTCAACCAGGATATATGAAGGGAGTTGCACAGTTGTGCAGTGACCCTATGACCACAGCAGGTCATGAGACTGATAATGACATTGATGATGACAAAAATTTAATTATGAGATTTAATTAGTACATAAAGCAATGATGACGTGTATAATTGGATTAGTGGTGAGAGATTAAAGATTATAATTGGGGATCTTGGACAAAAGAGATTAAAGTAAAATTCTTGGAAGATGGGCTCCTGACATCTACAAGGAAAAAGTCCCAAGACTTACTTCAATTTATTGTTATTTCAATTTTATTTATCTAAACTATTGTCATCAAAAGCAACAATAATATGATGGAATAAAACTAGTAATAAAATAATAATAATGAAAATGCTTCATCTAAAAAGCCACAATGATAAGATGGAGTAGAACTAGTAATAAAAAAAATAATAGTGAAAATGCCTCATCTAAAAAGTCACAATAAAAAGATGGTGTAAAACTAGTAATAAAATAGTAATGTCCTGATATTTACCTATAGCAGACAGGAGGGGAAGAAATGGATTCATACCTTTTCCAAGGGTATTAGTACATAAGTGAAAATAATGAACTCAACAGTAATTTGAACTTAGCTCTCCAATTTCTCCATCTATTACTATACTGTGTCTCCTTATGCCGCAGAAAACAAATTATACCTCCAACCAAAAAAAAAAATGCCAGGTGAACAATTTCTTGCTATATCTTACCAAAGAATTAATTCTCTTCATTCTCCTCCTCAGTTTATATATTTCCAGACGCCTTACGTTACACCTATCTAACCACAGCTCTTCTTTTTGAAGGGCCAAGTACAGAAACCTGGTGCACTATGGGCCACAAGGTCCCCAAACAACCCACCGCAAATTTTGAATTCAGTGTTGTCTTTCTAGACCAGTTGCTATCCAATGCTATAGAAACCAGTCTGTCTTGCTATTTACCTATAGCTGGAGGGAGAAGAAGAGGATTAATACCTTTCCTAAGGGTATTAATGGTTTTGACTGGAATTCAAACTCAGCTCTCCGATTCCTCAATCTGAGCCACTATCCACTACTCTACCATACCTTCTTGACAATATATATATATATATATATATATATATATATATATATATATAGATAACTAGATTTGTTTCAAAAAACCCTTGAATTTTTGATTTGCTAATCAAATCAATCTCGAGGGAAAAAAAGGTTTTAAAAAAAAGAAAGAGCTACAAACATGAACTTCTGTCGACAAAAAATCGCACAGATGCAGGTCTGAAGCCCAAAGAAAAAAACCCCGATACGAGTAAACAACTAACTAACAAAAGAGCTCAATACAACCGTAGAGCAGACCTAGATACATTTAGTGAGCCAGACAAACCTACCTAGGTTTGTCTGGCTCACTAGGTGTATATATATATATATATATATATATATATATATATATATACATGAGTGTAACTTCTTTTTCAGAAAACCATCTCTTCACTTGGTAGCATTTCTTGGTGCTTTTCATTCAGAATTTTATTATTTCTATCATTTATCCCCCCCACCTAATGCTCTGCTACAGGCTGTAAGTGATTCTTAAGGCCAATTTTACTTTTATAACCTCTATTACACAAATCAGATGTAAAGGTTGTATGTGTTACCTATGTTGGAAACTTGCCTGTCCCTGTGTACAATCATGTGATGTCTGAGTCCCGTAACAGGTTTACAAACCTTGTCATAAAACTTGCACAAGTAACCTGCAGGTCTTTCTGGTAGGTTGAATTCACTCTCTAGTGGGATCTCATGTAACTGGCTAAACCAGTTGCTGAAAGGGTAACTTTTCCACAAATACTGTAAGTGTGTTGTTGTCCTAATGGCTCTCGGATGGATTCTATTTCTTCCTTCCTAATGACACATTTTTTGTTGGAATGCTCAATTTTCTGCTCACAATTGTTGCAGCATTCCCAAATCAACCATCTCCAGCCAGATTTATATATATTATATATATATATATATATATATATATATATATATATATATACACACACACACAAATAGATAGATAGACAGATAAAAAGTCATTTATACCCACACACACAGATTATATATATATATATATATATATATATACACACACTAGATAGATAGATAAAAAGATAGATAGATAGATAGATAGATAGATAGATAGATAAACAGATAAAAAGCCATCAGATAGACAAAGACCAAGTAAATAGTAACTTAGGGAAACCTCTCTCCCATAACTATCTCCAAACATTAACAACTGTATAAAGATATTACACTCATTGTCAAACTTTCTGCAAGTAGATAGATAGATAGATAGATAAAAAAAAACAACAATAATAACTGATAGATGAATAAAAAGGAATAATGATAGATAGATGAAAAATGATAATGATAGGTAGATAGACATAGATGAAAAAAATGTTAATGATAGATGGATAAATGCAGTAAATAGAGAATTTGGGAACTTTTGCCTGTGATTCAAGTAGAGAAAAGTAATTTTCTGTCCATTTTTCATTTGTTTTTTTCTCCCCCCACAATAAAAAAAGATTTGATGCACTTTCTACAATCATTTTTTTTTTTGCATTATAAGAACTGTAGAACACGATAAGAAACTATGAAATTATATATCTTTAATCTTAAAAGTGCATTTTCTAAATTGATGCTACAGGTAACTTTCCATTTATTCCTCTTTACCCATTTTTTTTACTTCTTATTAAATTCTACATTTCTTTTGCTAAGTACTCCAAGACAAATTACAAGATGAAAAAAATATAAAGTAATAATCCCCAAAATTACCAATAAGTACTCACTAATAAACAAATTAATGCCAATTCATTCCAATTTCTATTTGCATCATCAAGAATGTGCACACAAAAATGTCCACCAAAAAAAAGTGCTTTTTTTTTTTTTTTTTACTAATGTTCACCTAATACAAGGTAGAGGGTTACTGTTTAGAAGTGTATTAGTGTAAGAAAGAGCAAGATAACAGGAAAGTTAGCTAATTCCAGACTTGAAGATGTCAAGATTACTGAATGAAAATTTCAGTGTTTGTAGTGTTATGAGCAGAGATTTGAAGTAGAAGTTAGAAGGAACCAGAAATCCAATCCTAATCAGGAAACAAGGGATGAGCCTCTACTCCTGTTCAAAAGACCAGAGAGGAGTGTGCACCGGACGATAGGCAAACCTATCTACTCTTATTCCATCTTTTCTACAATATATTCAGTCTCTATCTTTCAAAAAAAAAAAACCAAAAAGAGTGCTGGAAACTGCTGCACAAATCTAATATATACACTACAGTTCAAAAGTTTGATGCAACCCCTGGTAATTTTTTAAATTGGCCAAAAAAGAAGTTGTTTTATATTGTAAATAAGAGAAAATTATTATACATGGTTAGAAAAAAGTGAGATATGATGTTTTTATTTGAAATTTCATTATGACAAAAAAGAAAAAGGAAGCATTTCATGATTAAATTTCACTCTCGTCAAAATATCCTCCTTTAGCGTTGATTACTGCAACACAAATTTTTGGCATTTGTTACAAAATTTTCTCAAATTATAAGTTTGATAACTGATTCCTTTCTTTTTTCAAAAACTCTAAGAACTCTTTTTCATTATTTTTTCACTCTTCTGTTAAGTTCATCCCATCCTAATTCTGGGGGTGGCTTCAAACTTTTGAACTATAGTGTACACTTACAGATGAATGCATTCAGTATCTCTGCTCCACATGACATAGGTGATCTGCATATACATAACAAATAATACTGACCACATTACCCAAAACCATCATTTTATGTCAGGGCCTTTTTGAGAATGACTTATTGTATAGGCAGCCCCAGCTGTATTGCTCTAACTAAAGTACAAGTCTTAAGACCGAATGATAGATAGAAAAATCAAAGAAAAAAGACAAATAAAAAAAAAAGAAAGCTAATATTATCAATATTCTGTCTAGTATTTAATTTCTTCTTAATATTTTTTTTTTAATTGCTTCCATGAGGTTTGAAGAAATATTTTCCTCACTAAGACCTAAAGGCTGGCCAATACTACTTGGTACTAGTGTCCTCACAGGAGTTGCTAGATCAAATGTTAGAAGCAACATCAAACTGCTTTTAGGATACTAGATCCAAATTTTACCCCCACGTTTACTCTCCAACTTTTCATAAATGGCTAAAAGTGTGGACTGACCAACAAGAAAATATTTGAAGAGGTGAGCTTTGTAAATGTAAACAAATAAAAAAATTAAGAAATGAAGACCTTTAAGCAAATATTAATAATAATAATAATAATAGGACCATGAATTTATTGACATAGTAATTGTGAGTTCAATCTCTGGGCTGGACAGTGTAGACATGGATTCAATGGAAGCAAAGTGGGCCATAACTGAGCAGGTACGAAATAAGATATTCCCAGATATGGTCAGTAGAACTAGAACAATCTATCCTTATAGATTAAATAAAGGGTTCATTTTGAAATTTCCTGATGGTTAACTGTTCAACAAGCACCACTAAAAATATAGGTTATTTTCCCTTGGTTGATAACACCTGCTGATAGATGGATGCATTTATCTGATAATAATAGGGAAGACCAAAAATTATTTGCCAAATGGAATTTAGCCACAAAAGCTGAGGTTCTCTGACAACCACAAACAGAACAGACATGTTTTACCATACTCCAAGCACAAGCAATGCTGACCACAAGCAAACCTTAGTAATGCAAGGACAAGCAGCTATCAGAAGAATAATATGATCAACATTAGATAAGTGTTTCAATAAATTTCAAACATATACATGTATTTGGATTTCATCCCCGATGACATGACTTTAACTGCTAAAGGAATCTATTTTTAACAATCCTCTATTCTCATTGTATAATGTATTTCTTATACAAAGTATATTTTTGAATTTGTTCAATTGTCTCATCTTTGTTCCTAAGCAATGGCTCAATTTGAGGAGTTGCTAAATTTCTCACTGATTTGATAAAGGTCTTAGGGCACAACAGCCAAAAGTTGTGATAACAACAACAAAGATAATTGATAATAGTCTGCATATAAATAATAAAAAAACTCCTCATCCTAGAAATTTAGACTAGATATTTTCATGGCAACTGCTCTGACAATCTGGTACCCTGACTAAATGAATTTAAGTGGCTACTACAGTGGCATCTAGGTCTCACCCTGTAAAACATTGGAACAATTAAATGCAACTGCCACTTCTAATCCAACAGTTGCTTTTCTCTCTTCCCAGATAACTACAATCTTCAAAAATTTAAATGCAACATCAATTATTCTATTTTCCTGAGTCCTGTTCATCTTTTGTCTTTTTCTCAATCCTCCCTATTCTCTGTCTTCTCTTTCACTTTTACACCTTGTAACACCCCTGCGCACTAGTGATATTCCCACCTTGAAATGATTAAATAAATTTTTAAAAAGTGTATAAGTTGGGTGAAGTAGTGTGTGAAAACTGATGAATCTAGAGCTACATTGGAAGGACCTGATGAAAGGATGAGAAATGTGGTGACCTACATGGAAATAACCAACGTGACTTGCAAGATTTGGTCTCATAATGTTGGAAGTTAAAGTATAGATCGTTTCAAAGTTGATGATATTGTGAAGATAAACATAGAAAATTATTGTAAATTCTTGGACAGGATGTTTTTTTTGTAAGTAGTATAAGTAACAACCTTTTAGATTATTGCCCACCTTGCCCAAAATGGTTAAAATGCATTAAATTAATAGAATGGCTACTAGCCTCTTCAGATATTACTCCAATAGAAAAGTTGTGGTCTATCATTAAAAGCAATGTACAGGAAAATGCAAAACAATATTCAAGCAAGAAATATTTCAGGAAAGCAATAAAAAATGTTGCAAGTAATGTTAACTAATTGATCCTTGCATTCCTGAACAATTTTAACCCTTCTTCCTGAGCTCCTGAGTCAAAATTTGCAAATAATTGGTATGTAATGTTTCACGGTAGATATGAAAATAGTTTCAAGTGTTTACCCACTGTTCAACTAGTGGCTGGGTATTATGTCATTTTTCTTTACTACTGTTCAATTGGTGGCTGAGCATTACGTCATTTTTTTTCTACTACTGTTCAACCAGTGGCTGGGTATTACGTCATTTTTCTCTACTACTGGTAAAGCGGTGGTCACCGGTAAAGTGGTGGTTAACAATGAAACCATTGAAAATTTTCACAAAAATTGATACATAGAAGATTGGTGTATGCAGTGATGAATTTACAATGAGAACTAATGATACTTAAGCTTTGGGACCCCTACTCCCAGATGGACTCCTGAAGCAACTGTTTTAATGAGTGAATGTTTTTTTTATTTCATGCTTGTTACTAAAATAAAGCATTTTTAGTGATAGAATCATAAACCAATGGGTTGAAGTAGCTAAAGTTTGCCTTAGAATATATTCTAATACCCATTTCATATGGCCTCAAAATACCCCTGTAATTGGTCAAATTTAAAAATTTTCTTGGAGAATTACAGTGCCCAAAACCCCAGCTGTATGTATCAAAGTGTCCATGATTTTCTAAGCATAGCTTAGATGTGGCACAAGGCAGATAGCATGGGTACCCAGTGAGAATCAAACTATTTAGTTGTAATTGATCTAGCGAGAGAAGCTTGCTAAACATCACCCCACATCAAAATGCCCTAAATGATTTTCTAAGCATTAGCTTAGATGTGGCACAAGGCCAAAAGGATGGGACACCCAGTGAGGATCAAACTCACTGCTCAGTTGCAATTGATCTAGTGAGACATGCTTACAAACCATTACGTCACATCAAAGGGCCGTAAATGATTTTCTAAGTGTAGCTTAGATGTGGCACAAAGCCGAAAGTGTGGAGCACCCAGTGAGGATTGAACTCACTACTCATTTGTAACCTAGCAAGAGGAGCTTGCTAACATTACAATATTTTTAATAACTGATGTTATAAGTTAAAGCTCATGTGAAGTATTGGTCATGTCTCTGGAAATTTGTACATTGATTGGTTAATATTTATTTGTAAAACAAAACAAAAAAACATAGATGAACAGAAATAACTGAAAAATACAAATATATTTTAATATCTAAAGTCTTTGTGACTTCAGGGAGATCTTGAAGACATAATGAAATTATCAATAGAAGAAAAGAAAGAAGTAGAAGAAGAAGAAAGAGTAAAAAAAGAAGTAGAAGAAGGAGGAAAAAGAAATAGAAGACAAAGAAGTGAAAG